GGGAGCAGGGCAGGGGCTGCAGCGATGGGCCAGGGAGCAAAGGAGAGCATGGGATCAGACAGGGGGGAGCTGCATCTTGTACCCGCCAGTGCCTTCCCAGCAGAACGAACCTTGTGTCCCATTCTGCAGGTGGTCCCATCTCCAGGTGCTGTGTGTATGTAAGGATTGTCACAGACCCATAGAACAGCTCAGGTAGGAAGGAATGTCAGTGGTTGGTGGGACACGTGGAGATTCCAGACAGCATTCCTGGTTCTGCCTGCAGCACTGCAAAGTGGGGAGCTCAGCTCTCCATCACATCAGCGTGGAGATGTTAATTCTCTGCTGGAGCGTGGGGAAGCTGAGACTGGGAGGAATATTTGCAGGTTTGAGAGCAGATAGATCTTGCTTCACGTGGCTGAAGATCCCTCTGGCAAGGGGGGTTTGCATTGCAAAACACATTCTTTCCCCTCTGGGCAATCCTGGCCTTTCATTAGTGTGAGGTGATCCAGCTGCACTCCAGATGCAGACTGAAGGAGCATTCAGCATGGTTGTAGGCTGGAGCCTAATGGGGGGGGGGGGGCGGGGGGGAAAAACTGATTGGGTTGTTGCAGCTGTTACTGTTTTTTTGTGCTTCAGAGTGAAAGGAGAGGCCTGGAGAACCCTCACCTCCTTGTGCCATGGCACTGTGATCACAGCTGGCTTTGGGAAACTGAATGGGAGGAAAATACCTGGAGACAAACACGGGGAGCTCCTGCCTGGATGAGCAGCTGGCCAAGCTGCATCTCCCACGCAGTTGTTCCTGTTGTTCCTGCATGGTTATGGTGTTATTTAGCTCTTCCCAGGAATGAGCTTTCCAAGTTCTTTCCTAGGAAGAAATGTTGTTTTCTGTACCCACTTCTTAGATAGGAAACTGAGGCACAGAAATGCCGAGGTTAAATACATCAGATGTCAAGCTGTCATTTCCTCGCCGCAGTGTTGGAGTTTGTGAACCTAACAATGTTCTTCTGACGGGTTTGTGAGTGGGATAACACCTAAATAGGAAAACGAGTTGGCAGGTTTCACAGCTTCCCTATTGAGGGGGCACAGGATATAAACCTCCGTTTTGCGCCTCTGTTTTGCGCCTTCAAGGGTGTTCTCCAGAATACAAGCTTCCCAAAAAGCTTTCCGAGCAGGGACCTACAATTCAAACCCATACGGCATCTCGGATGTCAGGAAAGCAGACTGGTGGTGCTGGAAGCCCATCCTGGCTCTCTGTGACCCTGCTGGTTCTCTCATTGCACGCTCTTCTCAGCAGCACCCCCAGCCCTCCTTGCTGACCACGCTGATGCAGAAGTCAGGGAGATGCCTGGGCTTTGGATCAGCCTTTGCCACCCGACTTAATCCCCTGCTTTGTGATAAGATGGGATTTGAAAACGCGCACAGTGATGAGCACCTTCTGCAGGGCAGTGGGGAGGAAACCCTTTAATAAAGGTAAAAATCAAATTAAAAAGATATGGCCATAAACTCTGCTGCCATGCAGAGAGACGGGCGACAGCTCCCCCCATTTGTCATGAATTTTGCAGCTGGCAGCACTTTTATTTTTAATGCCTGACCGTTGGAGCTCTACAATTGCAGGAGCTTTTTCCTCTATCTTTTTAATATAAGCAAGACTCCAGCTGTCATTTTTTGCAGAGGGAGGCTATAAAAGGTGAAGTATAAGGGATCTAAAGCCAAAAGGCTGCTAAAGAGAAAATAAAAAAAGGCGGTTATTTTTAATTGCATTATCTTTAAACATTCAGAGTTAGCCGTGGCTGCAAACGTTAGCCCTGAGATGATGAACTGATGAGCAATTGGTTCATTCAGAGCACCAGAACAAATCAATGAGCAGCACATCACCCGCAGCGCTCTGCTGGAACGCGAAAACTTCTGTGCTCAGTGAAGGTAAGTGCTTAGGAGATGATCCAGCATATCACACCAGAGAAACAAGCCAGCTTAGCATCTTCGTTTCCCTCCAAGCACAATAAATCCTTCCCATATCCGCCGTTTCAGTTGAGAGCTAATGGATGTCCTCAAGTGCGTAAATGATCGCCATCCAGTTGGAATGAACTCTGCAGGGAATGGTGGCATGGCTTTCCAGTATGGAACCGTTCCTTTCCCAGCCACTGCTTTAGCCCCTTTTTTTTTTTTTTTTTTTTTTTTTTTTTTGAGATCTGAACGCATCTGTGTCATCCCAAAGGGATTCTTGAGTGCCTCGTGGGGCCTGGATGTGGTGTATGTCCTGATTGCTGGTGGCAGCAGCTCAGCCCTGCTTGGGGCTTGGCCAGAATTTGTTGTCCTGGTGGAAATGCCGTTGGTTATTTGAGCTCAGGAGCCGCTTGTGGCTGATCTGATGCTCACCAACACACATCCTGGAGTGGTGGTTCTATGATACTGCAGTTCAACCACAGCAGCTAATTGGGATGAAGAGTTCTGGGGCAGCCCTCTTGCTTTTCACCCAGAGGGTGGTGAGGCACTGGAACAGGCTGCCCAAGGAGGCTGTGGATGCCCCATCCCTGCAGGCATTCAAGGCCAGGCTGGATGTGGCTCTGGGCAGCCTGGTCTGCTGGTTGATGACCCTGCATACAGCAGAGGGTTGAAACTAGATGATCATTGCGGTCCTTTTTCAACCCTGGCCATTCTATGATTCTATGATATGATTCTTTTCAGTCACTCCAGGTGTGAAAAACAAATCTAACTCGTGCACTAAGCCCTATTCTTGGGCTGTGCTGCCCCTTGGACAAATCTTTGCTTTACTCTGTATCTGTTACCTTCCTCTGCCTTAACGAGACCACATTAACATTACATCTGGTGTTTTCAGCTCTCCTTGCTGCTTTTACAAGCTTCCTGCACACAGCACCTTCCCACGTGGCTTATTTGATGCTATTTAGATGAATTTGTAAAGCTTCTAGATGGGTTTGTTCCATCAGAATTCGGGCTGTACTTTTCCATCTGGCTGCCTGCTGGAAACAGCGTCCAGAAGTGATGTTTTCAGTCACATTTGCAAGGTTAATTGAATTATGAGGAGCAGATTATTTGAGCAAATGGAGTGGCCTTGTCGCACTTGGTAGGGCCTGTTAGACCTGCAGTAACGCAACCAGAAATGCCCAGGAGCTGCAGATGCCCCCGAGGAAGAGGTCAGCGAGGTTTGCCAGCATGGATTGCCTCCATCCACTGCAAAATGCCACATCTGCCATCACATCCCTGCCCTGAAATAGCTGATGGGATGCGCTGAACTGCAGCCAGGTCACCCGTGCAAGGCAGCAATGCCATCCGCTCCGCTCGCAGGGAGGGAGATGAGCTGTGACATCCTCTGCAGCATCACCACAGCCCAGGGTGTGCTGGGAAGGCACTGCTGTGGCTCTGGGAACAGTTCTGGGGGGAGGAGCAGTATGTTTTGACCTTTCTGTGATTTAGGTTCCTGTCTGCCTTAATGGCTTTGGGATGCAGGAGGTGGAGGTGTAAATACCAATGACGTGCTGCCAGGGAGCAAATAGGCGTCCGATGAAGAAACGCATCCTTTTTTTCCCCTTCTTATTTATCTCTCAGGCAAGGAGCAGAGGTGGCAATAAAGGGAGAAAGACGTCAGCCGCCTGGTAGATCAGCAGCTGCTCTGAGCTCCTGCACGCCGGTTGGCGGAGTGAGCTGGATTTCTGGGGTGCTTGGCTGATGCAAAGGGCAAACCGATCACCAAATGGCATTTGGCTGCAGTGATTTCCCACGAGCAACTCGCAGCGCTCTCTCCGAGGTGGCATGCTGGTGATTAATGCACAAACTCACCCCTCTCCCTGGTGCATAGTTTTTGTTCCGTGCGAGCTCTGATTGTTCAGTTAAAAAAAAAAAAAAAAAGTAACATTGGCCTATGAAGCTGAACATCAAAATGCAAAAGCAGAACCCTCAGCGTCCCCACTGTTTGCAGTGTGTTTGCTCAGGGTTATTTTCATGCCACACACAATTGACGTTATTGAGGAGAGCAAAAGGAACAGTGTTTGTTATTCAGTTCATTTTGGGTTTTCAGTGCCGTCGTCGTCTCGTAGCAGCAGTGCCTGGGGACTGGGGGGTGAGGGAATGAATTTATTACACGGAGTGTGGAGCTGGACAGAAACGGCTCCCAGAGGCCTCCCTGAAGGAGAAGGAAAGGATACAGGGTGGGGGAAGCTGTGGGGTAGGGAGTGTGGGTACGGAGACGTGGAGCAGCTGGTGCAAGAGCAGCAATCCTTGGGTTTGTGTTTCCATACTGCCGGGCTGTGTCGAAGCTCAAAGCCAAGTGTAGGTTTCTGCTGGGAGCTCCGCTGTGTCTGTGCTGGCTGAGTTTGCAGCTGAGGTCAAGTTCCTGAAGCCAAGGAGGTTTAACAGGGATTATGTATTTGTGAGGCTGGATCTGGCTCTGAGCTCTTTCCTTCTGTAATTTGCCAAACCAAAATCCAAAGTCCAGACAATCTTAGAGAAGGTTATGCCATCATTCCAGAGTCCGTGCCTGGTTTTACAGGCTGTTAATACACAAGGGTTATTTTAAAATGGTGAAAGATCTGTATGAGGTGGTTTAAGTACAGATTTTGAACTACTTACTACCATTGGACTAGAAGCAGATGTGAGGGCACTGGCGTTATTCTTAAAAAGGTTTCATTTATCTCAGTGTGTGATCACCTTTTAGTCCTGTTCGAGTCGGAAGGGACCTCAAAGTTCTTCTGGTCCAACTCCCCTGCAATGAGTAGGGATTCTGCTGTGGGCTCTTCTGCTCTGGGGCTGCAGGCAGCAGGAATCTGCTGTGCATCTCCAGGTCTCAAGCTGGTGCCCAGGCTCCTCTGTCATCTTCCACGTCAGATGGGTTTAGAGAAAGAAAGCAAAACCAGATGAGAAAAGCCAAGCTGTGCAGCATTGCGGGATGCCGGGCAGGCTGCCTGGCCTCATCTCTTGCCTTGCACTGACCACATGTGGACCAGGTGATGGAGCTGGCTCTCTGTTCCTCTCTGACAAACCTCTGTGCTCCCCTTCTGTCTCTGCAGAGCTCCCTTCCTCGGAGCACCTGAGCGTGGCCGATGCCACATGGCTTGCCCTCAACGTGGTGTCCGGCGGAGGCGGCTTCTCTGGCTCCCAGCCCATCGGCGTGACCAAAATTGCCAAGTCAGTCATAGCACCACTAGCTGACCAAAACATCTCAGTGTTCATGCTCTCCACCTATCAGACAGACTTCATCCTGGTAAGAGACATCGGGGGACCGGCCAGGGTCACCTGCCAGCAGATGGCACTTAATGACGCTTCAGTGACACTTGGGAGATCCAGTTGCTTGAGGAGCAGCAGGATCACCAAGGTTTGCTTCCCCCAGAGCTCTGTGCCATTAGGAGGTTATGTGGCAGATACACATATTTGTACCCTACTTATGGTAGATAACCTTACTGATGTTTGCAGTAATAGCAGTGAAAGTGCTTCTCTAGACGCACACCTTGTGCACCTGCTGCTTCACGTGGGAATAATGTGTCCACTTCCCTGTGCCCGTAACCTCCACTGCAGCATTTTCACCCTTCTGGTGCATCATCATTCTGGCCATCACCAGCTGACCCTGTCATCCCCCCCAGGTACGTGAGCGAGACCTGCCCTTCGTCATGCACACGCTGGCTGCAGAGTTCACCATCCTCAGAGTAGTGAATGGGGAGACGGTGGCCGCCGATGACCTTGGGATAACAAATGGATTTGTCAAACCAAAATTGGGTAAGGAGCAGCCTGGATTCAAGCCCTTGGGGTGCTGGTCTTCGTGCTGCGTGGGGGGGGAAGAGGAGTTTGTTTAACACGTGCCCAAATCTGTCCCTGTTCACCAGGGACTGCAGTAGGTGCTAAACTTTCTGAGCAACGCTGATGGGCTCTGTGGAATTTGAGCCTTTTAATGCTGGTTTAATACCTCTGGAGCAGACATGCCTTTTTGTAGGACAGAAGGTTAAAACATAACTCATTTCAGCTGCAAAAAGAAAACATTGTCTGTGGCCCATATTTCCATATTTTAACATTGCAGAAGAAAATGGCTTCTGCAGAGGCTTGGTTAAGCACCGCAGCAATTGATGCACAGAGAGTGGTGTTGTTCACCTTTCACACTTCAGTACCAGTCAGGATCAAGGCCACGGTGAGCCTGCAGCCACACAAAACCTTAGGATGTTTCCAGTCTGCAGGAACAAGCATCTAGCAAAGGGCACAGTCAGGAAAAGCAACTGCTTAAATACATCTGTTCCTCCACACCCAGGTGCAGCTGTGTGCCCACACCAAACAAGGCAGGGATCCTTTGTGAAGTGCCACTCATCCTCATCGCTCAGTAGCTGTAGGTCTCCTCCTTAAGAAAATGAGCCTTATAGAAAAAGCTGGGCTGTCGATAAAATAAGCTTTGAGAAAGGAAGGATAAGAAGGCATACTGCCAGCAGCCAGAAAAATGCCCCTAAATGGTGGGAGCCTGAACTTATTTCAGCCTGATAGCCCGCAGGGTTTCAGTAAGGAGAAACTTCCTGCTTTTACCTTGCCAGCACTGTTGCTTTTCTCTGTGGCTGCTGTGTGGCTGTTACATCTGGTGGGACGTGGCTTCACAGCTGTGTGTCTGTATCTCTTGCAGTTCAGAGGCCTGTCATTCACCCCCTTTCCAGTCCGAGTAATATGTTCTGTGTCACCAGCCTGGACCCAGATACCCTTCCCACTGTTGCTACACTCCTCATGGATGTCATGTTTTACTCCAATGGGTAAGTCATGGCAGGGATTCACGCTCTGGGAGGGCATAAATTCACACTGCCACACCAGGGGGGACCTGCTGCAGCCTCACACTGCTGTGGCGCCTTGTAATTAGGGATGGAGAGGATGGAGGATCAAGAGGGCTGTCCCAGGAGGTGGGAACCAAGAGACCTCTGCTGGCTTTGCAAAGCTGAGCCTTTTTAGACTTATCTGAATGCTAGCAGTGTGATCTGTGTGCTGCAAATCCATACGTGACCCAGAGATACACGGCCAGCGTGCTGCTGTAATGGGATGTGATAGTGCTCAGTGACACTGCCCTAAATCAGTGTCTGAGCACCTCTGGTGTCAGTGGTTGCATCTTCTTTAAATGCCCTCTTCTGGACGCAGTTAATGCTGTTCTCTTCTGTTTCCCCAGAGTAAAGGACTCGGTGGTGGGCAATGAAGACTCGGGACACATTCGCTTTTTCTCCTTTTCTCTCATCGAGGGTTACATCTCCTTGGTCATGGATGTCCAGACACAGCAGAGGTGAGCTTTGGTCTTAAGGTCTCCCAAACTCTGGAAAACAACCTAGGGTGTTCTCAGAGGAGCAGGAAGCAGCTTAAGCTCCCACATGTTAATTCTGGGGAGCTTCACTGGGTGCCTGTTACGGGACTGTACACCTCGTTACCTTACTGACCATGTCCAGCGTGTTGGTCCAGGCCCGGAATGAAATAACAGCAATGACAGAATAACAGAATGAAATAACAGGGATCTGAGAGCTGTCTCACTGTTAGAACATGGGAGCAAAGTGATTTTGACATTTTCACTCCTTTTCTTCACAACTTTTAAGAGCAGAAACCCCCAAAAATCTGGTTGAAGTTTTACTGCCCAAAAAACAAAAGCAGAGTGGGGACTTCAGTGACTCTGTCCTCCCACTTTGCCTTCACACATAGCTGGGCTCAGTGCAGGCTCCTTGTGATGATAACACAGTCATCCCTGTGCGGCCAGAGCTCAGCTCAGGGCTCGTTAGTCAGACAAGGCAAAAAGTCAGTGAGGGAGCAAACATCAGGTTTGTGTGTGTGTTTCTGCAGCTCCACGTCACAGCAGTCTCTGAGGTCCAGATACCAGGCAGCACAGACAGCATGATGCTCGAAGATACCAGGCATAGATGTGCTTTTGACACGCAGTGCAGTGTTTGGTTTGATTCTTGTCTGCCCTAAGGACTTGTTCTGCAAACTATTAATTGCTCTCTTGGAAATGTCTTAAACCTTAAATGGAGTAAAACTCTGTCTGCCTTCAAGAGAGGCCTGAGGCTTGGAGCAGCAGCCGGTGCTTGGGGGATCTGGGCGGCCACTCACTGCTGTTGGCCTCAGCAAGTCACTTGGCCACTGACCTTCCTTCTCTGCTACAAACTGGGGATCTACAGGGAACCCAGGGTCCTCCTAGGGATGATATGGGAAAAGCACTGATGGTGCTTGGGTACAGGGACAGCGGGCACCACTGCGTATCAAAGAAAGTCATAGGGGAGCATAGAATAGGCTGGAAAGACCTCATTAAGTCCAACCATCACCGCATCCCACCATGCCCACTGACCTGCAGTGCTGCATTTCTTGAACCTCCACGGCTCTTGAACACCTGCCACTGTTGCTGGCTCCAAGCAAGGATACAGGAACAGCAGCATCCCTGCGGGCTGCATCCGACACACCGCTGTGTTTTAATTGCTGTGTTTGGCATTCTCTTTCTTTTGCAGATTTCCCAATAATTTGTTGTTTACAAGTGCATCTGGTGAACTCTGGAAGATGGTGCGGATTGGTGGGCAGCCCCTTGGCTTCGGTAGGTGAACATTTGGGCCCTCAGTTGGTGCATGGGGAATCGGTTGCCTCAGGGCCTTCAAAAGGGGATGGAAAAATCCGTTTGTGTCTGGGACATTCTAAGTACCAGCAGCTCAACATGACTTTGCAGGCTGAGGTTTCCCAATAAGTGACTCCTACTATTAAGTCAGGCTTCTAAATATACTTTTGAAAGTGCTGCATGCTTGACAGCTCCGCCTAAATTACATCCGTCTGCAGGACTTCAAAGGCAGATGCAACTGGGTTTGTATTTAAAGAGCAAAAATGGACAAAGAGGTGGCACAGGATGCACTGCAGATTGCTGAAAGCAGTGGTGTGACAGCACTGCCTTCGGACACCTCTGGGGCTTTGGTATATTGAGTGTAGATCTATGGAAGTCCAAATGGGAGAACAGCTTTATGTTCAATGCTGCAAATGTTTTCTCTGCTCAAAAGAGCATCAACCTAAGAGCACAGAGCAAATACTCACTTCTGCAGAAGTATCCCTCTTACTTTTATGGCCTCTGCAATTTTGAGGAGTTTAATCTGAATTCTGCAGCCAAGACCAGATGCTCACAAAACACAGGGGCTCCTTCCATGCTTTCTAAAACAGTTAAAAGTACAGACTTCAAGAACATTTTGGAAAAGTTCTAAATATTTTTCATTTTTGGCCAGGTGAACAAAAGTTGTAAGAACACAATTTACCTTCTTTAAATGCATCTCAGAGGCAAAATGTGTAGAAGTGACATGGCATGTTTCATTGATGGGGCATCAGGACACCCGCCAGTCCCCTAAATATGCAACATTTAGATGTGTTGGCTTAGAACCCAGTTGGATTCCAGTCGGGGGAATGGGCAGGGACTCATTTTTTTCATCTCCCCAATAGATGAATGTGGAATTGTCGCTCAGATTTCTGAGCCTTTGGCCGCGGCCGACATCCCAGCCTACTACATCAGTACTTTTAAGTTTGATCACGCGTTGGTGAGTATCCAGACTTCTTCCTTGGGGTAGGGGAGGGCTTCCTGGGGGGCAAACAGTGATGAGAACACCGGTAGCCACCCACTAACAAAGCTCAGCTGGTTTGTGCTCTTCCTTTTGTTTCTCTCAAAGTGCCCTTCACCACATTACTTCTCCTTTCATCACTGCACACTCACTGTCCAATCCTACTTGTGACCTTCAGAAGCTCCAAAGAGTCCAAGGGGTTTTTTGCACTGGGTTTTTTCACCTCGCTTCTTGGGTTTTTCACAGCTGGTGCAAACCATTTGCAGCCCACAGGTCATGTGTGTAAAGAGTAAGAGTAAATATTATTCTAGATAGCAAAGGTCAGAGTGGTGTATGTGTTTGTCTTATTTTCTTGAATATTAACTGTGCTGATAAGATAAGCTAATAAAACACCATTTTAAAATCAATACTGTTAGCTTTGCCTTGCATTCCTACCTGCTGCCTGGCCCCGGAGCATGCTGTGTGCACAGGGCACGGGGTGCAGAGTGCTGCTAATTGTCAGGCAGTATCTGGAGAGCTTAAAATAGATGCTTCACTCAAAACTCAGGCCGTGCAATTGTGATGACTGTGCAGCAGCTCCGCCTTTCACAAGTGGCTGCATCCGACCCCACAGCCTGCAGCAGCTGGCAGGCTTTGTTTGGGCCGCATGTTGATTTCTGTGCATCTTCCTTGTTAAGTCACTGTTTTGTCATTTTCTTTGCTACTTTTTGTTTTCTTTTTGTGTGCTTTTGCACACCTGGATGGCGCCGTTCTGGCACCAAGGCGTGCTGACTGCTGGGGCATTGCAAGCCCTCCTTTGCTTTGTTGGCCAAGACCCTCACCTGGGCTCTTCACTTCCCAAATACCTTTACTTCCAGCAGGTAGTCCAGCAGAAAGGTCCAACTTTCCCAAGGTCTAAGAGCATCTTGAACCTCTTCTCTTCATCCTCTCTTTGTTTAAGGTCGTTCAGTGTTTGCAGTCAACAATTCAGAGTTCTTTGTAAAAACTCATTCCCCTTGCCCCCTGCTTTTTGCTCCTGTGCATCTTACGGTGTTTTTTGCTGCTTGGTTTTTCCTGGCTGTTAACACTCAGCTCTCCCTACTGTTAGCTGCAGGAGCGCTCTGGAAGTTGTTCCCTCTGGGAGGCGTTGCCAAGATGGGAACCTTCAGCTCTCCATGGATGGATGAGGTGGGGCTGGGCTGGAGGCAGCTTCCAGCTCTCTGCAGGTTATGTCTGGAGAGAGCCAGTGAGCTTTTCCAGGTGCTCTGCTCCTTTTGCCTCACACTTGGAGGCTCCCTGCTCATCTTCCCCAGCATTTTGCACCTACCGAGGCTGGAGCTGTGGCTGGGAAGCAGTTTGGAGCTTTGCTTTGGCTCTCCCCGTGGATGTGTGATCTGCCCTCTGGCTGCCAAGTAAGCATGTTGCACCAGTTGCCCTCTTCAGGGATCTGGAAGGTCTTGCACGACTGGGATGTGTCCCACAGATGGAAACTGCGCACATCTGTCCTGGAGAAAACGAAGCCCAGCCCTTCGTTGTGTGATCAGTAGTGCCTGGGCATTGAGGGAGCCAGGCAGCATTCAACATACAGGGAAAAACAATGAAAGAGGCGGTGGAGCTTCATAGTCCTATTTCATGTGATGGATGTTTGCTGGAGTTTTCTTCCAAACCCAGAAGAATTGTCTCTGTGGTGCTTTTAAGGTTATTTTCTTCCTTTCCCAGCAGACCTTTGTTCACACATCATCAGAGTTAGCAGCTCCTGTTCCATCTTCCTGCTGGAAAATTGAACGTTTTTCTTGTTATTTCTCATGAGTTGCTGTTTTTCTTTTTTCTTTTTTTTTCTCTCAGTTTTGTTAAAAGCTCTCAGAAAATCACAGCACAGCCATATTTCCACTGAGCTCAGAGGGTCTCCAATGAATCCAGGTATTGTGCTCCTGGCCAAGGAGTCAAATACCTTGCAGAGGAAGCAGTCCCTTCATCTTCCCTACCAGTTATGTTGGCTTCCCATAGCTGCTCACAGATCATTTATTTTCCCTCTGTCCCCTTCTCACTTTCCAAGAGCTGTTGGCTGCCCGTCCCCTGAGTGCCATCACTGAATGGAGGCAGTGGTCAGTGCCTCTTGCTGCTGATGGGCCTCTATGTGTTATTATTTTCCTTTCTGCCAATGCCACTCATTCCAGGATCTTCTGTGCCTTCTGTTACAAGACACCCACTGGTAATTGTCCGGGTGGACTTCTGTGGTGAAGTTCCATCACAGGGCTGGAATAGAAAGCTCAGGTGCTGTGCTTCACCACCAGTGCTGACCCTCAGCTCCCCATCTCCTGGTGTGCTCCCCACCCACAGCCATGGGTCCAAAATCTGGTGAGTGCCCCCCAGAAGGGCAGGAATCTGACATTTGGATGCATAACTCAAGTCTGCAAAATGAAGGAGCTACAAAGACTCTGGGAGCTTTCCCTGAATGTCCCCTTTCATAGAATCATTAAACTCGCAAAGACCACTGAGATCATGAAGTCCAGCCACCCGTCACCACCTGTCACTCAGTGCCATGCTTTCCTCCTGTATTTCCTCCTGTGTTGGGAAGTGCAAGAGCAGAGGTGCACAGGGCTTTGCCAGCAGCAGGAAGGACAGGAGGGAGAGGTAGAAAGAAAATCCCATCACTGCGTTTGCATTAGCTCTTCTGAAAAGGAGGGTCCCATAGCTGGAGCCCTGTCTCGCCGAGTTCTGGTGTCCAAAGCATTCCTGGCTCCTTGAGGCTGCTCTGCTCATCTCCTCCTTCTGCCTTTTATTCATCCAACCAAGGTTTGTTAGAACCTGACCTTTCTTGTCTGTTTCTTTGCAGGTACCTGAAGAAAATATAAACGGTGTGGTCAATGCACTCCAAGTCAGTCAAGCTGAAAAGCATTAGAAATCTTCTGAGCTGGTTCCAGATGCTTTTTATTATTATTATAATTATTATTATTATTCTTTTTTTTTTTTTTTTCTCACAGTATTTCTTGAAAAATCTGATTCCAGAGAGTGACATGAAAAGAGACTGTGGAAAGTTGAGCAGAAACAGCTCCAAATAGCCTTTGTTTTAATTATTATTATTATTATTATTATTGTTATTTTATTAAATTTCTTTATGAATGAGGGGCAGGAGGAGGGGAGGTCAGGTTGTTTCCTGAGGCTTGGCTCGGGGTGAGATGGAGCTGCCTGGGAACTCCTGTTGTTCCCCAGCACGGGGCATGGATGGACAGAAGGACACGGATGGATGGATGTGGGCACTGCGCCCTGAGCCCGGTAGCACGAGCAGAGTGGGTGGGCTGCTGGCTGCCAGAGAGCCCTGAGAGCCCTAAAAAATGACATGTGGAATTAAACAGAAAAGACGTGGCACGGTGCTGGCTTGTCTGCTCCCATCAGGCTGTGTCTGAGGACTGTCCGTTCTGTGCATGTTGGGTCAGGATGGGGTTGGGGTTCTGTTTCCCCTCTTTGGTACTGGAAAAGGGGAAGCTATCCTGTTGTCTGAACTGTCTCATTGGTCTTTATCCCTGCACTCAGCCTGGCTGCCTGCAGAAAGTCTATGGGGGGCATTGCTCTGGCCCTGCAGATGACACCATCTTCCGTCTGCTTTGAGTCTGGTTTAGGTCTGTTTTCCCTCTCCCCCTGTGTCCCTGCTCCAGGGACACCTACCAGGGCCAGCAGAAGAGAGATTCCTCCCTTCCCATCCCAATTTCAGACATTTGTGAGGTGCAGAGTGTTGTACGGTGTCCTGATTGCTGCTCCTCTCCTATCCCACATCCTGGGCCACCTCACCTCAGGTTGTCCCCACCAGGAGCAGGAGGTCCCTGTTGGGTCCTTCCTGTGGCTTTATCAGCTCCTTCCTCCCCAGGTTTGGGACTAAACTCATGGGGGTTTCCCGTTGGCTTCAGATCTATAAAAGCTGAACTGTGCTGAAAAGTCCCCCAAAAAACCATACAACACAGCCCACTGCCTGGAGCTGATGTCACCCAGGACAGGGAGAAGGAGAAGCCACCTGCACGGAGTCTGTCCTCACAGTCAGGAGCCCAGACATTTCTTGTGTTCCTGTTCTTCCCATGGTGGACATGGAGAAATGGCACATGGCACAGCTTCAGTGAGCACTTCCCAGCCTTGCTGAATGAAGAGCCTCTGGAGTGGGGGTCATGAGGCTGCATCCTGCAGCTGCGAGGCAGGGAACTGCAGCAATCTGCAGGGGTTACACAGGCAGGAGGTGATGCTGCAGGTGTGGTGTGTGCTGGTGTTGCTTCCCAAGGAGCAGCAAGAGGAGAAGTACTTGAAACAAGCAACAATTCTACTGAGCCTTAAGAAAAAGTGAAAAAATAAGGGTTTATTTTATTTTTACTTTGATTTTGCACTCAGGATGATTTAGAGGTTGTTTCGGTTGTTCCAGATGTTCCACTTCTTTCCTGGAGGCAAGTGGACTTAAATTGCCAAAATTGTGGCTGCAAAGCATCGCACAGGGCTGTCCCACCCTGCAGACACGAGCCCCAAAAATGCCACAAGGAGCACAACCCCACAAGGGCTCTTTGCGCCCCCCATCACCCTCAGCTTCACCTCCTTGAAGCCTTCCATTTCTCCACAACTGGGGCTATTTTCCCCCTCCTTGCCTTTTTCTTTTTCTTTCGTTTTTTGGTCTTTTTCTGCCTGGTTGGATTTCAGCTGCAAATTCCTTTCTCCCGTGCGTGTGCACAAACATAGAAATGCCCGTGGTGATTAGTGTTGGTGTCCTGTACACAGCACATACAGCAAGAGACTCACAGATGCTGTGTGAGTACATGGGCACGTGCAGATCTGGTAAATGCTGTATGCACACATCTACTCACTGTAGATTTTTAATTCTGGTGTACCAGCAATAGGAGGACGTGGTCCCTCTGCAGCTGGGTGCCTCGAGCACAGTGATGAGAGAAAAGCTTCTCCTTTTCCTCTCGTCCTTTTCGTTGCTGTGCTGACATCGTGGTGGCGCCACTTGGAATCAAGCATCCAAAATCCCTCCATGAAAGATCAGTGACATTGTGCACAAGGCATCGGGTCCTGTGTTGGTGCAGTGCCAAAAAAAGAGAGCCAGTGCTCTCACCTGGCTGCTGAGTGATTGCTGCTTCCTTGCTTTGGGTTCAGCTCCCAGCAGCGAGGTGTTGCAGCCACCGGTGACGGATGTCATTTGGTGATGAGGAGTCCCTTCTTCCTGTCACTGCTGCTCCTGTGCGCATCTCCAGCAGCAGCTTAAGGCATCTCACTTACTGTCCCCATCCTGACTGCAGATGTCAGGCTGGATTAAACTTTTATTACCTGCTAGAGAGCAAAACCCAGTAATCCTTTTGCCAAACAGTATTTACACTGTGTGGTGTGTGCTGGGGCATGTTTACATTGGCTGAGGTGTGCAGCTCTGCCTGGCAGCTTCAGCTGCCTCCTCCCATGAGTCCTTCCATCCATCCTGGGCTGTGTGCATCCCATGGGCAGCGGTGGGGGCACTGTGTTGTGGGACTGAGCCCATCTCAGCCCTTTTCCCCATCCCCTGCTCCTCCATCACAGCCCCCATGAAGCACAATATGGTGTAACACCAGCTGTCAGCAGCACAGGAGAAGGGCCACGTCCTGCAGCACAGCAGAGCATGCTCCTAGGGCTGCTGAGCAGATCCTGTAGCAGCAGCTGCCCCTGCAGAAGCAGCACACAGCCCCTGATCCTGACAGGAGATTCTGACAGGGGAATGAATGAAGTATTGCGAGCCAAGCGTATGACAGTTGTAGGTGTGAATGTGCAGAGAAACATACCTCTTGGGAACTGAATAGCCAACAAGTCCCTCTCTCCATCTCCAGCCAGCACCAGCCCCTTCTGCTGGTTAGGAAAATGGTGGGACGCGGGGCTGGGGCTGAATGCCGCCATGCGGAGCACACGGCCCCACTGCCCACACTCATTTCTGTGCAGGAGGTGCACGTGGGTTTGGTGTGGCCTGGGGAAACATGATGTGGTTGGGTCCCAAGGCTCATTGTGCACTGCAGGCACTGCAGGGTGCTGCCGGTACCAGAGCTGATGGTGCCACAAGCACAGCTCTGTTCTGCCTCCTTCACTTTGGGGCATGGTTGGATTTTTCCTCTGTGGGTGGAAGTGGCAGAGGCACTGTCCCCTGCATGGCACGTTTGGCAGATGCTGTTGGCAGCATGGGGTTCCCCCACTCCTCTCCCATCCCTGTGCTGAGGCACTGAATCAGCTTTCTGCAATAGCAGCAATCAGCCTTTTTCCCAAAGAACTCCCACCAGCTCTTTTGTAACTTGAAAGAACGCTGTTTTCTGGGCACCATGGCTTTGTGGGGATGCAGGGGGGCATGAGGCGTCCTGGGGTGACATGCAGCAGGACCCCTGTGTGCTTCAAGAGCCCATCTCCCTCTTCCCCACTAACACAGCTGGCCTGTTGGCCCTGGGTTTGTCACTAAAAGGAGGGGTGTGACAGCCCTGCTGCCTGCCTGCTCACTGGGCATCACAAGGGTCAGTGTGGGGGAACTTTGTATGGAGAGCCCCACCACCCCCCTCACTTGAGGCTGTAGTGATTCCAGGGCTGCAGTGCCCTGCTTGGCAGCACCTGAGAAGGGTGCAGCCCTGCCCTAATGCCACGTTGGGGTCCCCCCCTGGCTGGAGCTCGGCCTGGCTGATCTCTCTACCCTTAGGAAGCCTGCGTTTCCCCAAGGATGCTCACACTGTCGCACCCCATAAATTTCCAGTGAGCTGTTGAGAGAGCAGAGGCTGCCTCACTGCTGCTGCAGGGGGTACACAGCCCTCTGGCTCCTCACAAACCTTTCCCAAGAGCCTTTCCTTGGGGGATGCAAATGATGCATTGTATTTTTCCCTTTAATTCCCAGCCTAATGCAAACCATTGTGGGGCTCACCCAGACCAGCACTGGGCTGTGCAGCTGAGAGTGGCCGCTTTGCATTCCCAGCGTGCTGCTTTCCTTCTCCAGTCTGCTGCTGCAAAGCTGAGGTTTATGTACTGTATGGGGGAAAAAGAAAATCAAACACAGAACACACACATGAAGATAAAAAAAAAAAAAAAAGAAGAAAAAAAAGAAAAAAAGATCCTAATGTTCCAAAACAAATGACAGTATATTTTGTACTTTGTAAAAGTGTTAATTAAAATGAAAAAGAAGGAAAAGAAAAACGGTGAAACACTGTCTGCTTTCGTACTGATCAAACCAATGGCAATAAAGCAGAGCTTGGCACTGTCTCCATAAGATGTAGTGTGCCACGTTCCCAGCCACAGGGGTTCACCCAGGTGTTCCCTGCCCCACACTGCCCCACATCAGTGGTTTTTGTCCTTCATCCAAAGGCACAAACGCTGCAGGAGGTGCTGGGGAGGGGGGGATGGGGCTCCAATTCTTATGAAAAGACGAGAACTGGAGGCATGAGTAATGTTATCCCAGCAGTCTCCTGAAAGCTCTGATTATTTTCCTCTGAGTCATTTGTTTTTGAAGGCTCCTGGAGAGAAAAGAGCTTGCAGGTGCCCAAAATATCGTTGTTTTGGGGAGCTCTGAGGCACCCAGCTGTGTGGGCACAGCCCTGCTCCAGGCCTTGTCCCGCAGTGCCTGTGGCCTATTTTAAGCCCCAACTGACAGCACAGTGGGGTTCTGGAGGGCAAATTACTCTTGCTAATCAATGCAAAAATCAAGGAGGTTGTGCTGGCGTTAATTGGAGCTGTGCCCACGTGAGGGCCCAAGCTGCACCCACCTCACTGCAAGGACCTGCAGGGCTCTCTGAAGGACAAAGTGCTGAACACCACCTCCCAGCTCCTCGCCTTTGAAAGCGGTGAATCTGTAGCTGTAAGCCCTTTGGTGGAGCAGAAGCCTTCTGTGGATGTCAGAAGTGTCAGGTGTTTACCTTGCACCATCTGCAGAGACTGCACTTCACATCAGGGCTGGCCTGTGGCAGTGCCCCATTGCTGTCAGGCACCAGAAAAATCATCAGTCACCTCCATAGCAATTTCAATAAATAGCAAATACAGTGGCAACTGGTGTTGATTCCGGGACTCCCTGCTCATCTTTGATCTTCCACGCCGGTGAATAACTTGCATGATGTAAATAATGAAGTGACAG